GTTACAAATTACAGAAACAAAAATCGCAATTTTAAAACTACAGGAACGAAACTTACACTCTTTCAGAAACCATGGGGACGAAAATCATAGTTACTCTATTATTTAATTGGATTGGGTCCCACATTCTAAATGGAATAGGTTCATGTTTATGAACCTTAATTTCCCCATCTACGTTTCCTTTCAATGTGTACAAATTTATAAAATGATTTATTTGTGAACCTCCTGGTGTGCAATGAAATCAACTATCAAGGTAAGACGTGTTATTTAATTCATCAGCAAATTAAAATCAGTGCAGCCAATGGAAATGCAAACAATATTTTTGGTTACATATTAGAACATTATAATACAATACAATAAGAAAAACAATAGGTAATTTGTTACCTCTTAAAACTTTAGTACATGTTCTTGAACTCGAGTAATAAAGAGCACTCGTTGTCATGGCTCTGGGTTGAAAAAGAAAGCATTAGTGGCCCAGGTAGATTGAAGGACATATAGCCCCAGGAAGAGAGAGCACATCAGCATTAACAGATGTAAAGATTTTGCCATGATTGATACATGTGGCGCACCGATTAAGACTTAATTAGGGTATGTAGTGGAAATCCTCTCATTTTCCCGGGTTCGGATCTAGGCGTTGTCAAACCGCTTGTAGCCATGGAGGTTTACCTGCTATGACTCCAGACATTCATGGTCGCTCTAAGGATTAGTCAATACACGTAAGCTAGCTTAAGAAGCTACAATTAACCAAAAAATGAGAATAATAGCAAAGATAAGTGTATATGTATGATCCATGGATGAAAATGTAGTATATATAACTAACTTTTGTAATCATTTGATTTTGAGTTTGTCGATCAGTCCTCTAAAAATAATTATTTATGGATTCATCTCTTTAATTAATCCAAATTTATTATTCTCTTACGATATGATGAGTATTTATTTTTTCTAAATCATTTACAAACCAATATTTTTGTACAAACTCTACTCTCCAATCCTGATCCTCCGTCAACTTTTCAATTAGTGTTTTTATTAGCTTTTAGTTTTTTTTTAATCAGATGCCTGATATGTAATTTTCACGTGATGATAATCATGTTTGTAACTCGTTTCTCCAAAAAAAAATTGATTAACCTGGATATCCAACCCGCTATGCGAGCCGACTAATCCCAAGGCGACCACCTGCTTTGCAGATTATCCGGAGTCACCTCATTTGAACCTCCGTGGCCACAAGAGAATTTTTATTCCTCCTTGGATTTGAACCTGGGACCTCCTGGTACTTTTGACCTTTGGAGCCAAGCTCAAACCAATCAGACACCACCTTTGTGGTTACATTTCTCCAATTTTGACACCAATTTCCTAGAAAATGGCAATCATGATATTCAAGGATTCCAATTATAATATACAAGATATCTGATGAATATCTCAAAATTTTTGGCGAGTTCACCATTGATGTTTTGCGCAACTGAATCAACTGTTTATGAGATGTTTGGCCAAGTCATGGATTTGTTCAAGTTGGTCGATCAATCCCTCCTTACTTTAATTACTTATTTAGCTATTTTAGGTCGGAGGTATTTAGCCCCAAAGGGGATTGCGGTTTTCACAAGTTCTTTTAATTCAAACGTTTATTTAAGCATAAAAAATCTTGGATGTTTCTTATACAAAACCATGCATATCCTATTTTGTTTCTCGTATGAAATCATATTCAAGGGCGTGTCAGAGGGTTATTAAAGAATATTAGCCCCCACTATTTACGCTGGTGGTTCGAGACTAATTTCTTCCTAGGATTCAACCTCAATTAACAGAACTTTAAGCAGCGTACATAAAGTTCACATGAACATCAAACGATTGCAATTATGTATGAAAGTGTATCAGATAATGTTATCTATTCATATGCACCCTTATATAGTAGTTAAAACAAACCAACATGACTCTTCATGAATCAACACACCTTTTGGAAAGTTAACTACCAAAAAGTAGTTTCCCTCAAAAAATAACTACGATTAACTACCAAAAAGTAGTTTTCCCTCCAAAAATAACTACCATTAACAGAATTAATTCTGTATAAAAAGAATGACGAAATTATTTTTTCAAGGTGCAAAGTGCTAAGTGCTAAGTCTTTGATTAATTTATATATATTAATCATCCACCTATTCTTTCCAAAAGCCTCCTAAAAGACTTTCAAATATTTGAGTGGAATGGTATTTATTAACACACTTTTACTTTTCTTACCCACCTATGTGGGATACATAATACAAAATTGTAGATAAAACCCATAAGTTCCAACAGTTGCTGCACAACACCCCATCCCATAAACAACAATCAGAAGAACCATCATCCGATGCATTACTTGCGATCTTCCAAGAGTCTAACTTTCGAAACCCGCGGGTTTCGAAATAGGCATGAGAAATGGTTTGCTTAAACAGATACAAAGCCAAACATTCCTCATCATGACTTAATAACGATTCAGTACAAGTAACAATAAGCGATATTGATAGAAAGAGTTTTTGCAGGAAGTTGAGATGTTGGAAGCAAGAAGTTATTAGGAAAAGAAGTTTGTCTGATTGTTATTGGATGCGTAATGTTGTTTCTATAAACCATGCTTATGTTTCAGAATTTTTCCATAAATGCATATATGAAGCTAAAGAGAAGGTTCATTTAACCACTAAAGTTAACATATCTTAAATAATACCTTATTTATTATAAAATGTAAATCTTTTGACTCGGTTTGTAGTTTAATAAAACAAAGGTATTACTTTAACCATCATATTTGAAAACTTTTCTAGTCATCGTTTACCAAGTGAATGTGAAATTAAAAATGTTGTATTCGTAGTTTATTATAAAAAAGAAAACTACAAAACCACAAAAATTGACAAACAAAAACTCCAGAAAGGTTCGAAGTTCAATTGACGAAAGCAAGCAGTATGCAACGATGAAAGTAAGCAGAAAGCAATGATGAAAGAAAGTAGTGGCTAGGGTTTAATATTGGAATGAGGGTATTTATGTCATTTAAATATTTTGGATGGAATGGATTTCAGATTTACTAAGAAATGGTGAATTTCTCAAATTTGGGAATCTTTGGAATTCAATTTCATTTCATGGGCAACCAAATGTTAGAACGGAATTTGGTCAACGAAATTGACCATTCCAATTTCATTCGATTCCGGCAGATTCCGACGAACCAAACGCCCCCTTAGAGTTTGTTTGTTACCAGTTTAATAATTTTAATAATATTTATACTAGGGGTGAGCAGCGGAATCGGGTACCCGTTTGCGGAACCGGAACTGCCTTGGAACTGCCGGTTTCGGAACCGGAACCGATATGAGTGGTTCTGGTTCCTAAAATACGGAACCGATTGAGAACGGTTCCGGTCCCGGTTCTCAGTTTTTCGGAACCGTTACCCGCCGGGTACCCGGAACCGGCGGTTGTTTTTCAATAAAAAAATAATTGATTTTTTTCAATACCAAATTTATATTAAGTTACATCTTCAAATGACGCGGTCATCTTCATTCTTCATCTACTTTCTAGTTCTACTAAACTACAGTTCGTAGTATATAATCGTTAAGTTTTGAACATTTACAATTATAGTATATAATCGTTAAACTTTGAACATTTTCTATTAGTCTATTATGGTTTGTAATCGATAAAACAATATTTGTAACCATTATTCCGTGTAATTTGTATTATTGTTTATTTAATTTAGTGTTTTGGCAATATTTTATTTTTATTTCTAAATAACAAAATTTTAATATTTTAGGAAGCGGGTACCCGGAACCGGAACCGGTTCCCGGCGGTTCCGGTTCCGGTTCCAAAAATTYAAGAACCGCTCTAACCGGTTCCGGTTCCGGTTCCAATATCTCAAGAACCGCCGGTTCCGGTTCCGGTTCCGGTTCCTGTCAAAAAGGGCAGGTACCCGCCTATGCTCACCCCTAATTTATACCTTATTTAGTCAGTCATACATGATTGTTTGATAGTGGTTTAATGATATAGAAAGTGGTTGATTTAATAAGCTTCTAGGGGTGGAGTTTTATTTAGAAAGCCAATTTTTTTCGAACATGTCATTCCCAAATAAAAAATATGATCATTTCATCTATGAAAAAATCTTTTAAACCTATACAAACAGATTAATCCACATAAACGGTTTTATCTGTACATGACTTAATAGAATGGATTTCAATTCCATCAATGAAGGCTTTTTGAACTAAGCCTTCTGTCAAAGTCAAGAAGGTGATTTGGTTTCTGAACCAAGCCAAACGTTATGAAGCGTCAAGACTTGGTTATTTCATAAAGCATATAGTGTTTTGAACTCAGACTTAGCTTTTTCAAAAAGCATGTAGTTTTCTCAACTATACTCAGACGTAGCAATTTTAGAAAGCGCGTAATGTTATTAAGTAAATTATGAGGAGACTTCAAAGTCTTCAAATGTAGCAATGGACAATAATGACGAATCTTTTTAAGGTGGAGGAACGCATCAATCCAATGTCTTTACCCTTTTTTTCTAAGTATATTTTAAAAACAACAATCATTGACCATTAAGTAAACATACTTTTAATAAATAAATCAGTCTAGAATGCAATAGGATATGAAGACAATGATAACTTATAAATAAATTACTACTAGTGATACAAAAAAACGACTATTTACGAAGTGGTGGAGCCACACAATCACAATGGGTTAGAATACTTGTTAGGTGATTTCAGTGTCATTAATCATTTCAATGGGATTGTGGTTCATTCGAGATCGATTAAGGTGATGAGACAAATATAAGTGATTTAAGAGGCACGGAGTGCATACTCACAAATGTTGCCCCTATCATATAAGATCGCCACAAGGCAAGGGTCAAGGGAGTCGCGCCTCCTTACGGGGTTCTAGAGGTAGCGCCCCCAGCGGGGTTCCAAGGGGCATAGTGTGATCAAATCTCTGAAATCATAGAAAGGAGAAATAAAAATCCTCTTGTGGTTGCGGAGGTTCAAATGTGGTAACTCCGGGTAATCTGCAAGGCAGGAGTTCGTCCTGTGATTAGTCGGCTCGTATAGCAGGTTGGATATCTAGGTTAATAAAAAAAATGATACATGCCTTAGACGATCAAGACATGGGCAATAAGGTTTGGTGTAAGGTCGTGTTTTATGATGCATGAGTGAAGAAATATAATTGAATCTCTAATCTATCGACGAAATGTATGAGTAACGTCCAGTGGCGGATCCAGGATTTTTGTTTAGTAGGGTCACCTTTAAGGTAGATTAAAGACCTGAAAAATCGTCCGATGTGTTTTTAACCTAATTACAACGTTTTCAAGGGAATTTTAAAGTTTTTGGGTTGATTTCGAGGTTTTTTTTTGTGTTTTTGTGTTTTTGTCGATTTTGAATAACTTTTTTGGTTTTTTTGATTGACTTCAACAGATTTTTTTGGTTAGAGCAACGGTTTCGATTGGGGTTGGGAGCCCGTGGAAAAATGTAATAGGGGGAAGTGAAAGTTAAATCATGTAAAACCTAAATTTTAACCTATGATTTTTTTTTAAAGTTTTGGACTGAGGTCCCTTCCGCCTCCTTTTTTCCATTGCATCCGCCCCTGGTAATGTCATTCCAAGAAATTGTTTTTACTTTTGTGTCACAAACTTCTTTTTCCTTTATTGTCTTGCTTCGTATGTTGAATACTATCACCACGATAAAATTGGGTTTATAGGATGCTTAACATTTCTAAGCATTAATGTTCTGTAGGATTTTAGCTTACAGGACCAAACAATAAAAATCTTATCTTAAAGTGTTACAAAATGTTTATATGACGTTTTTAGACATTTTTAAAGTAAAGTGTTGTATTAATTATTTTTCAAGTAAATTTTGAAAAGTTGTACATGACAGTTTTGTTTATATGACAAATGTACAAATCGTGTTTTATAAAATATGTAATACGAGATTTTAATTTAAAACGTCCAAAAAGCATCCGATAAACCTATTGTAATAATTTTAGATATAACACTTTATTATTTGATGTATAAACTGAAAGATACAAGGACGGAAAGGAATGCGACTATTCTTCTTAGTTTCTCCTCCGGTAACCGAGTGGCCTTATCGAATCGTCGTTCTTCTTCCTGAATCGCTCAATGAAGTTCTGAACGTACCTTGTATATAAAATGTTCCCAATAACAATTCCAACCACCATTCCACTTCCAAGTCCCAAAAATGTGACCATCCAATCTACTCTTCCTCGTAGGAAGCTGAGGGACTCAGACTTATTGTGAGCACTCGTTGATGGAGATGTTGTTGCCACTGAATTCCGACAAACCTTAGACAGAGGTTTTCCACACAATTCAGGATTCCCGACATAGGAGTTGTCTTCAAATGTATTGAATTGTTTTCCTTTAGGTATGCGACCATTAAGATGGTTGAATGATACATTCAAAATGGCAAGGAAGCCAAGTTGCAACAGTTCTTGAGGAAGTTCTCCCGATAGCTCGTTTTGCGAAAGATCCAACGATTCAAGATTCTTTAGGTTTTCCAAGGATGGTAAGACACGTCCCGTAAGATGGTTATTGGAAAGATTAAGTGATTCAAGCCCTTGAAGATCGTGGAGTGACTCTGGGATCTTTCCTTTAAAATTGTTGCAAGATAGATCGATCGCTGTGAAAATGTCTAGAATACATTGGTACTCGGTCTTGACACATTTGTTTACCAATGTCATCGAGTATGGCCACTCGTTTTGGTGTACAAACAATGTGACAGCTATCTCTATTTGCATCACAGATGATTTTCCAGCATAGACAGATTTTATGGCATTCCAAATTTGGAAGTACTTATGGGGCAATCGACCACTAAAACCATTGTTTGAGAGGTCAATGATTCGCATCTTCGGGAACTGTGAACTATCATCTATCGGGCCCTCCATCGCCCCATGGAACTTGTTGGAACGGAGAATAAGCACTTGCAACTTGACAAGACTTCCCATCCAAGATCGAAAGACATCATCAAAAGAGTTATCTCCAAGAGAGAGAACTACTAAATGGGTACAGTTTGCCAGTGATCTTGGCACACGGCCCTGAAATTGGTTTTCACTCAAATCAAGCCTCTTTAACCGACATCTATGCGAAAAGGTGTTGATAATTGAGCCATGAAATTTATTCCGTTTGAGATCCAAAACCGACAAGGAATTGCTTAAGTTGCCTAAACATGGAGGAAGCCTTCCTGTCATGCTGTTAGAAGACATATCTAGCAGTCTAAGAGACCTTACTTCACATATCAATGATGGTACTTCTCCCGTCAGATCATTATCCGATACATCATAAACGATAACCGACTGTGGTGGAACCGGCACCCATCCACGTAACTTGTTATGTGAAAGGATTAATGTTTCCAAACGAACCCATAAAAGAACACGAGGATGTCGATGAAAGCCAGTTATTAAGTTGTACGATAGGTCAATAGTCTTTAGTGTTTCCTGACTACTTTTCCAAATCCATACGGGCACGAGACCATCGATTTTGTTGTGGTCGAGAAACAAGGTTGTCAGCTTACGTTGGGAAATCAAAAAGGTGGGAAATTCCTTTAAGTTGCATGATGCCAATCCTAGATCTTCTAATTCTAGTAGGGTGGCATTTACGTTGTTTGTATCCACAATTGATATCTTATTAAAACCTACAAATAGACTTTTGAGTTGGTGAAGTCCTAGGAACTTGTCTAAGTATACTTTGCCGCTAAAAATGTTATCATTCAAGCGGAGAATTTGGAGACTTTTGAAATTGGAAAATAAGCTTGGAATTGGTCCTTGTAATTGATTATTTGCAAGGTCTACGAACCTTAGTTGGGTCAAGTTCATAAACGATGATGGGATATGACCAGAAAGAGAATTACGTGACATATCGAAAATTCTAAGCTTTGTTAGGTTTGAAATAAAGGAGGGGATTTCACCGAATATGTTCCCCCGAGATCCATACAACTCTTCGAGCTCAGTCAATTTCTCAATCCAGTTGGGTTGGCTCCAATTTTCAAACTTGTTATTAGAAAATTCTAAAACAACAAGTTTCGAAAGGCTTACCAATGAAGGAATGGTTCCTGTGAACTCATTAAACCCAATAGTCAATTGAACGAGTTGTGTCATGTTAGCAACTTCACTTGGAAGGGGTCCTGAGAAGAAGCACAACGAAAGATCCAGTGTGATCAAGTGGGTTAGGCTACCGATGGATTCTGGTATATCCCCAGAGAAACTTGTGCTCCATAGAATCAAATGCTCGAGTAAGCTGTTGTTACGAAATTCAGGCAAGGAACCAGTGAGGTCCATGTTCTTTCCCAAGTCAAGAACTTTAAGCTTTGGCAGTTGAAGTATGGTTGTAGGGAATTCATTCTGAAGCCAACAATCACTGAGATTTATAAACCTCAAGGAAGAAAAATTGCCCAAAAAATCAGGTACCGAAGAGCTAATGTCAACCCCTGAGAGATCGAGTTCTTCAAGCCGAGTTAAGTTTTGCACTAGATTCTCAAGACTAGGACTTTGAAGCTCTAGTGTATTCCTTGACAAATCTAACAAAGACAGTTGTATCAACTGTGAGATCTCTCGAGGAATTTGGCCACTGAATCCAGAAGCGGAGAGATTTAGGCTTCTTAACTGCGTTAAAAGCCCGATTTCAGATGGGATTTGAGATTCAGCAAAGTCATTCTTGGCTAGGTTGAGCGTTTGAAGATGAACAAGGCGGAAGAGAAAGGTAGTAGAGTTAATAGGGCCACGAAGAAAGCTTTTGCTCAAGTCAAGACCAATCACATGGTGGCCATGATCACCGCACACCACCCTATCCTACAAACAACAACCCAAAACATCATTTGATACATTCCATGAGGCAAACTTCCAAAACTGTGGGACTCTGAAAGATGAATCTTGGTGAAGAATGCTTTGCTTAAATTGGAACAAAACCAAACACTCCTCATTGAGGGTTAGTAATGGATCCCTACATGTGACTATGATTGTTATCATGAACAATACATATATGAAAGAGATGGTTTGTCGGAAACTGAAGTAGAAAGCCATGAAGAGATTCAATTAAGGAAAAGGAGTTGTTTTGATTGCTTGTGCAAATGCAAATGCAAATGGAAATGCAAATGTTCTTTATATACATAATAACCTAAATACATAATTAGTAGTCGTTTGATTACATTACAACAATATACTAAATAAAAACACTTGTTTTTTTGACCATAACTATTGATCTTGGAAATATTAGGTGGTGTTTGTTTTTTAAGAGGTGCTGAAGTCTGAAGTCTGAATTCACTTCTGAATTTTAAGAGGTGGTGCTGAAGTCTGAAATCTGAATCAGTCAGACTGGTTGTTTTTACATCTGAAATCTGAAATCTGAATTAATTCATTTCAATTACATTTAACTGAAATATCCAATCATTTAAACCATTTGTAAACTATCATATACTTTTAACACATGAATATAAATTACATCCTATGCTACACCAAATCTTCCATAAGACATACCATTTTTTTTTAAATCAAAATACCCAACAATTCCCCATGGTTTTGCTCCCTGGTTTTTCATACCCATGGTTTTGCCCCAACTATTCCTCATTGGGTATCTCACCCTTTACATCTCCTCATATACTTTATCATTTGCTACAACCATATACTTTTCCCGGTGATCTTCATCTTCCCGGTGATAGTGTGTGTGTGCCGAGGAAGGTAGACAGGCAAGACCCTCAATAGCCGGTAGATCCATTTTCCCGGTGATCTTCATCTTCTCCGACTAGAT